ACTGCAAGTCCCAGCGTTTCGGCAAGTGTTTGCCATTCCGCAAAAGATGAGAGCTCTCATTTATCTTCATGTGGCCTTGCAAATGGCTGTCATCCTTAGAATGCTGCCATTTTGAAGAACATTGCATTTATCTTAGAAATTTAATGAAGCCTTTACTGATTAACAAACTCAGAAATTAAAAAAAGTAAAGGCAAGTTTTAATAATTTTAATATTTATCTTAACTTTTTAATTCGATACCTATCTGTACTTAAATTTACAGAATATACAACCGATAATTTTTTAAACACTACGCAGCATTTGACGAATATATAAGCTTTCAGTAATATGTCAGAAGATATCACTTGTTAAATAGTGTGCAGCTTATAACGAAAAAAAAAGGTAATTACGTACTGTGTATAGGGCTATCAATGTTGTGCTTCATTTTGAAAATAGGTTAAACAACTATGACGTATGTCATTACGCAAGGTGTTTTATCTTACTACACAATATGCGAGTAGTGACAGTTAATTATTTACAGCTTTTCGATGTGCGTCACAGATTTTTAGGTATAATGGTATACCTTTATGTTTACAATGTACTCTCGATGATCCGGATACAGATTGATCCTGCGTAGCATGCACGCACACTCAACGTATGCACGAATGCTAAACGTAATGCTAAATTTTTACGACCAAATGTTATCAATTAAATTCAGCAGATGTACCAAAATATAAAATTATCAGCAAAATTACTTTACCATTCTCGTAACTGTTGCTGGGTAAGGTGATTAAATGAAGTTTTGAAAAAAGCTGATTGTATTGGATGCAAATACAAAGTAACAAAAATTTGGCGGAAAGTAAAACAATAACACTGGTTCGATCATAGAAAAATATTCTTCCTAGTACAGATATCGGAGATTTTTTAATTGTGAAGAAGACAAGGCAATAACTGCTGTTGGATGCCAAAAAATTGAAATTTCTTAAAAAATGTCGATCAGGATAAAGAAATGGCGATTCGACTGAGTTGGGCTTTCAGTGATTGAGTGATACAGATATCGTTTCAAATGTCGCATGAGCACAAAAGGCTGAAAGTTATATTATAAATACAAGTGAAGTACTGAAAGTAGAAGTGACTCTGACAATTTCATTAGTCCCGAGACAGCAACGACTTCTGCTGAAACTCTGTTGGATTTCATCGATCATATGGGATACGAATGCAATGATAAAATTTCACTTCGAAAAATAATCAGTGAAATTCGAAAAATCCTTTAGCGTTCTCAAAATTAAAGTAAAATTACCGATACTTTAAGAAATAAACTTGTACAGTATGCATGAAAATGGATAGTATGGATTAACAGCGTTTTTCAATTATCCATGAGCTGCATCACTGACATTAGCTGGGATAATCAAGAATACATTATATGTGTATATATTGAATGTCCTAAAATAAACTGACGTTTTTCAAAAATTTACGACAGGAAAACTGTTAAAAAGAAAATAATTCATGCAACAAATTCATGTGACAGGACATAAATTTCAAAATTTTCCAACAGATGGTGCTGCAAATCCCTTTTGCCATTCTTTCCAGTTTTAATGCATACAAATCATCAAAATATGCATCTGCAAGAAATGGTTTTGACTTAAAATAAGTGTTATCTGTGACTGGACGAGCAGTATAGCTGAACAGCAGATTCTGTAGGAAAGTGTTGAAAATGACATATTCGTTGGACGAAAATTCCAAGTTGCTAATAGTCCGCAGCCGAATGCATAAAAAACATTGTGCGGGAAATTCAAACAAACAGGTAGTGTTGCAAATGAGAATTCCAGAGCTGCTAAACGTCACCGGTCGGCTTTTACTGGAGCAAATGTATAGGTCGCTGAGGAACCACCTGCACACTTCCATGGAAAATCAGTCCGAAAAACTGCAGCTGCATGTGAAATGAGCAAAATGGCGGCATACAAGATAATGCCTAAGAATAAAAAATATGTAAATAAAAATTATAATTTAAACTAACGGTAACTCTTTAATTTTCCCTCTCTATTCTAAAATTCGTAATAACTTCTATGGATTGCGGCATTTCTAGATTAATCCATCTTCATGGCCTACGAAATGCTGATGACGTAACTTTGGAAACTGAAACCTTTCTAACGTAAGTCCAAAACCTTTATCTTAACAGACTGCCATATTGGATAAATGCACAGTTAGCTTGCAGTTCTGTTGTCGCTTAGACGCTGTTTCATTTTGCTTTGCATTGTCCTGCTGCTAAATATGCCCTTATTTAAAATGTGATACTCTATATAAAACTGTCATGTGTGTTATTGTGATTGTGATCATGTGTAATAAAAATATGTTTTTGATAATTAGTTCCTGTCCAGCAATAAAAATAATGTTCAGTTCGGCTACGTCTGTCTACCAATCTCTCCTTCGAGTGTCATCTTTCTAATAATGTAGTACGGTATATGCAAGTTATTATGCAGAGAACCATTGTCACTCCATTGCTGCTTACTCCAAGTTTTTATCATACACATACATATATATTTTGTTTTTGCCCTTTCAATTCTTTTAATAAAATCTAATTATCTTTTTTTAAGGTTTTTCTAATTATTCTAATTAGAATTTACTTTGTTTTTTCCTTGCTTTGGGAAAGGACCAGAATTTTTGGGTGAATTATATTATTATAATTAAAATACTTTGAAATGGCTAATCCTGGACAAAGAAAAGCAAGGATTTTTGTAGAAGAGAGATTTCAATATTCCTCCCCCCTGATGAAGTAGCATTGAAGTTGATTGAATTCCTCTTCTGTTTCTGTTCATTTTTCTTTAAATTTCATTAATTTTTTAAATGGGGTTTTGCTTGTTTGAAATATTTTGGTTTTAACATTTTTAAATTCTTTGTTGCAATTATTTAAAATTTATTAAATATGAATTTCAATTTTTGGTCTTTGTGAAATATTAGTTCTAAATTTCTTAGTTTTTATATATACTTTTGACGCAGCTAATTGCAACCAAAAAGGGTGGTGCACAACTACATGTTATGGCAGTCAAAATTCCAACTTTTTGTAGTTGCTCGTTTTTGAGTTATGCGAGATATACACATACGTACGTACGTCAGATGTGAAGAAAAAATCTCTCCTGAATAAATTTGAAATCCATTTTGCGAAAAAAGGGTCCTTTATTCTTAGGCAACATAAAATTCAATAGAAAAATCACAAGATTGTCCGTATGTACATAAAATTTTCTTTTTTTCAAATGGATTCGAGAGCGGTCAAAATAGATATTTTCATTGAAGTATGGTATCCGAAATTTTTCGCGATTACAATACTTTCTTTACTTTGTACAAGGAAGTAAAATGTTCTCATTGTACTTTTTAGAAGAGTAAAGTGTTCATGTCATAGCTTTCCTACTTTCATAGAAGTATTCTAGGTTGGTTCATAGAAATTTTCAGTAGTAATTTTGTTTAAATGTTATTTTTTGATCTATATACGTTCTAATTTATTTTAAGTTTTTGAGACTTTTTTTACACAAAACTTGCCCAAAATATGAAATATTTATGAGCGAAAGTTTGCACCTGATCAAAATGTAAACGAAATGCGCTGATAAATTGTGACAACCGGGAGGTTAATCCATTAAAAGTAAAGTACATACTAAACCGAAGAAACCTCCAATATGCTGGGGCAGAAATATATTTTTGCAAACCTTTAAACACAGCTTTAAGAAATTTATGTTAGGCGAAACTGGATGAAAGTCTAGAAAACAAGGCTCTTCCTAACATCATAGCGTATAGATCTAATCACAAAAATCTCACTGCTTAGTTTAAAAACATATATGCCGTTCATCACAATTGCACTGCCGTGGAAACTGGATGAATTAACTGGATCTTGGCCCCACGAAGCTTCGTGAGACAGTCTGTTCGTGGCCTGCGGGCCATACTGGCTATTATGAGAAAGGCAACGTTTAGAGACCTGCTTGGCTAGATGATGTGCAAATTATTTCATTGAAAAATTTCAGCAGCTAATAACGGCATTTCTAATACTGAATAGGAATTAAATTGTGAGTTATAATTTATTACTAGTAAGATTACCAAATCACTTGATTCTACGCTTAAATTTTTATATGCAGTTAAATTACCAAAAGCATATGTAAATCATAAATACATTTTAAAGTAATATTCTGTTGTCACTTCGCAGTCTTTTCTTTGTCAGAAGTTATTGCTCTCTTGAATAAATCTTCTCCTTTTGCTGTTGAAAAAGCTTAAGAATATTTTCTTTTTACCATTATAAAGAACATTTTCTCATAAAAAAATTCACATTACTTACTGTTGTCATATCTTTACATTCTGTGAGTAATAAAATTGCCCAGATTCTATCAAAGTCCAAATTCTGGGATAAAATGAAATGCCAAAGCATTACAGATACCTTTAAGTTACAATGAATTTTTTATTCCCCATGCGTGCTAAGTAGTAGTATATTCAATCAGTAATTGGAAGATCAATGGTTTGAATCCTGGGAAAGGCAAAGTTGATTTTTTACATCTCAAAACTTCAGTAATTCTAGTGTTCCGTATTAAGGTTTTGTCTAAACTCTTGCCCTTGTATGAATGATGGAGTTACACGCATGTTCGGCGTTACGTTTTTTGCAGTGTGAATGCTAATGAATATATCATATGTATTATATCAGATTTAACTCATGAAGGAAAATCAGAACTAAAATAATATTTGCTTGGCAGTGTTCCATTTCGTTACTCCAGTATTTGTAGAACATGAACTTCATACATAAACATGGTATATGAAGAAGCACACTTAAGTATACAAATACACACAGGATGAAGAAAATTTAATACCAATACAATATAAAGCTGTTTAACAAACAGCAGAATATTTTAACAAGAAAATTTAATCAAGTAACCCAATAAATTTCATACAATGAAGAACTATTACTCATGGACAAAATGGGAAATTTACTTATAAAAAATTAAATGAAAATTCCAAAGTATGGTAACCTGTTTTCAGTAAAACTACATAATTCATACAAAATGAATTTTTATTTGAAAAACAATACAGAATACAATATATACATACACAAAATAAGATGACAACATAACAGCAAAACTTTACTTATGAAATCATTTAATAGAATTACGCAATCAAATTCTGGGAATATGAATACAATGAGCAATTTTTTATATATATAATGAGAACTACGTATTTTTAACATTATTTAAGGTGTCTGACTTACATATCATTGCCATACCTTTAATGTAGGAAAATCTATGCTATTATTCAATTGCATTCTTTTATAAAAAAAAAATTACAAACTGGTAGAATAAATCCATACGAATGTTTATAAAAATGAGAAACTAGTACAAGGGATTTAATTTTTTTTTTTTCAAAAGTAACACAATTTCTAAAATTGATCGTAACAAAAAATTAAGGAATGCAGAAATAGCTATGCATAGCTGTTATTGAATATGAAGAAATAGCTATGCATAGCTGTTCCTTCATATTCAATTTTCACAAAGCTCATAATTTTGAATTTGGTATTTAATCTAGAACCAGAAAAACTGGGCTGATAGCCTTAATACAGCAAACTCCTCATTATCTATGCATGAAATATTTATTTCTCAGAAACGTTCTCAGACTAGAATTTTAAGACAAGGTACAGTTTGTCTTTTCTTTTGAAGAAACTCACGATTTTTAATACACTGATTCTCAATGTTAAGGCTTAGAAAAGTTCAAAGCTTAACATTAATTCCCGATTACGAAAAATTGATACTTGATAATCTAAAAGTAGAAAATTTTAGATAATAAAACAGTAACAGCACCGGGTCTTAGTGTTCCGGAATTTAAAAATATATATGAAGAAAAGCTAAAAGTAAAGACTGAGAAAAGAATAAGTAAAGCTACAAAATGATACTGATAAAAAATATTTTTGATGCAGTAACAGAAGCCAGCAAAATAGCTAAAAGATGAAAGTAAAAAAGTAAGAAAGGGTTGTCATGGTGTGGCAATAAATTATATAGATAAGATGTCAGATTATATGAGCAAATAAAATAAGTTCAAATTTAGCATCACTAATTTCTTTCATGATGGCCGTTACGTTATCTGAAAAAATGTCAACATGTTATTTAGAAAAAGGAATCTAATGGACCTTCCTGGAGAAGGGGACAGAAAATTTTATTTTTACTTTAATTGAATTTTGATTTAAACATACTTATACCATTAATTTAAAAAAAGTTAATTCTTTATGGCACTGATGCACTAATTACAATTTTACAGGATCATTTTTAAATTATACACATTTTCCATTTACCTATGCATTTTTATGCATGTTGGATGGATAACAGGGAGTTCAATGAATAAAAAATACATTATAGTTAAAATATTTAATTAATTCTAAATAAAAATCATATATTACTAGACAAAATTCAAAAAGCATTTAAAATTGTGTTTTAAAATTTGACATTTTTAAAAAATTTTAAGTGTATTATATTAATAGTTTAATAGCCTTAGAAATTAATACAAATTTCCTTTTTTTTTAAATCCCTTTTCAGTCTTATATTACATATGAAAAACTTACATATTAGTTATCAGAGTACACTTACTTAAACTACAAAGTTCAATATAAATAAATCACTTTTCTTATTACATCAACAATATGATATAGTTGAAAACATACCATAAAGAAACACATACTAATTTCAATTACTCTAAAGTGAAATAAATATAAAAATGAAAACAAAAAAACAATAGTAAAGTTTTAAAAAGTACATTATGAAAAGCACTTTGTGAATCACAAAGCCATTTTGAATGATTGAGCAAATATAAAATATTAAATGAATATAAAATAAATATATATAATATATATATTTAAGATTTTATTTAAAGAACTTAATACAATCATGAAAATTCTGCAGTATTTACAACATGAGTATCCATAAAAAGTGCACAAGTAGGTTTTAAAACAAGAATAATGTGACTGGTCAGATACTTGAAATTTGCATTTAAAATGCACAGTTTTTAAGTGAACCAATAAATGCACAATGAAATATTCCAGCTTGCATAAAAAGCTCCATTTATAATGCATTTCCTAAAACTTTTAATATACGAAGTTAAGACATGATTAAGGTCATGTTTAAAAAATAAAAATTCCTTCATATTATAACCCTTTATATTTATCCTCATATTCTTCAATTCTTTTCCTGTCTATACGATTCAATTACTTTTCTGTCAGAAACACCTTTAATAGAGTGTTACCAAATGTTTTTAGCTGTGATATTACAATAATTGCCCTATCCTAAAATACATCCTATATATACTCCAGGAAGTGTTATTACTGCAAGAGCCATAAGATCGATTTATCTGCCACCAACTGGTGAATAGCAAGTTTCCTTAATAGCTTACTTTAATAATTGAATAATTTACTTTCCCTTTTAGTAAGTTATCTAATTGATAATTTTGAATATAGTTATAAAATATCTAATAGATAATTATGAACACTTGCATCATTACTGCAATTAAAAGATTTTTTAGTGCCACATGATATACCTTGATCAAAAGTATTTACCAATGCAATTTCAAATTTCAGTGCTTAAATTGCCCCCATATTAAATTTTAAATATTAGGTTAATTAACCAATTTTCTAGACAATAAATAAGAAATGATTTACTCCAAATTGAGCAATGCATGTTAGCAGAAGATAATTTGCTTCTCAAAACATAGAACAGATTGTATCTCTCAAAGCTAGTTAATTACATTTCTATAGGAGGAAATACATGTTACTTTAATAATCTGGATAATGTGGTTGCCACTAGGAATATTTTACTTGAACTCAAACATCTTGAAATAAACATATCATGTTCAGAAACAGCTGCAGGAGAGAATTTTTTTTTTCCCATAGATTATTAACAGAGAAAACTTCAGCAAATTAATATACATAACAGCATCTGATACATGTTCTAATACCTTGTGTATATAAAAAGTCTTACATTTTAACAGACTGAATATCTATACATATATAGGCATAAATATTTTACAGTATTTCATAGTTTGAAAATAGGCGCAATGTTTCTAGCATAAATATAAATGCTTAATGCCAGAAATGTTACATCACATTCATTCAAGTGCCTAATTCCATATATAAACAAACATATAAGAAATTAAAAATAGTATATACAGATTAATTAAATACAATTTGTAATAAATTGATAATATTTCGAGATGCAGTGAAATCTCCCATTGATGATCACCCACAATTTCAGATCATTTTGGGTTTTTGTTATAGTAGCTTTAATGAATATGATTATTGATAATGCTTAGTATCATTAATCATGTTCACAAACTAAGGATCATTTTCAGCTGTGAATCTCGTAAGGATATAGTTGCTATGAGTGATTTCACTGTACATAGATGGTATGAATGATGATGAAAATTCTTTTTTCCCACGAGCATGAGACAAATGACCATGACTTGTGAGATGATGAAAATCATAATTAAATTTGCCTTTTTAAGGGATTATAGTAAAACAGATTCTTTTTCAAGAAAATACTTTTACTGGTGTAATTCCAAAGAACATTCTTCAAATCATTTCAATACATCTTTTTTTTTTTTTTAAATATTTTCAAAAAAGATCCAAGAAGATAATTATCCCCTATTTATAGTAAACTAAAGCTTAATCTTCTGAAACACAAATACAATTAATTCAAATTTAAATTTGAATAACTATTTTTAAATAAAATCTTATATCTACAAAGTTTAATACCTTAAATTGATAAACAAATAATTTTATTTAGCACTTCCTTAAGCAAAATAATTATATTTTCTTAAAAAAAAATGATAAAATATCACATTTATGTTTAACAATCCAACTGCTTGTTTCCTTAGTCACTTTCATTAACTATTATATATTCACAAACAAAATTCTCAAATTAATTTTATAATGATATAATTAAATAATTAGAAACATTTCAAGACATGAAATGGCAACTTATGAAGTTGTTTGGATTCTAGATTACATTAATGATTCCAGTTGTAATGCAAAATTTTTTTAAAAAGGCTAAACATTAAAAAGCTTTACAGAAACTTACTATTGAAAACACACAAAGTTGAAATATTTTGAAAATGTAATGCATAAACACAGACAGAAGTTTTTTTTTCAAGTTCAGAATTAGAAGACAAAAGAAATCCTTTGGAATTTTACACAGAGTTTTTCATAATACACAGCATAGGTTTGAGTAAAATGCTACCTTTTTCCCCCACATAAAAATAAGCCATTGGTTGAAAAATTATCAATAAAGAACCCTCTTGAAATGTGTAGAAGGAAATAAAACTTGCAATAAAATAATTCATCTGCTTCTTTAAATTTTCTGCACATATTTTAGACACATCCTTTTAAAATTCAAAGATTCTGACTAAATTTCTTCTCACATTACGCATATTACCTCTCTTTTTAAACATCCATACACTGGAAGAACTTTTAGGCACTAGTATCAAGTATACGTCATTTACGATTCTTTAAATTTGAGTAAATCCATTCAAGTCCTTGATATAATCTGCAAAAAATGTGAAATTTCAGTCATGAAACTCACTCAACACATCTTTTTAATATACTTTGTTACAATAAAATAAAACAAAATTTATTATCAAAATTTTGTATAAGAGAGGGATATGTATAAAATATGAAAGAGACTGAATAGATTACAAAAAATTATAAATTCATTGCATTAAGTAATTAATGTTATAAAAATACATAACTGTTATTGATACACCAGAAAATGCTTTGTATTTTTTTATTCAATCTGCTCATTCTATTCATGTAGTAATTGTTTTAATTATTGAATACCCCATTCATATCAGCATTTATGAATGGGATATTCAACACACACACCTTGCTCATATTCATCAATGATATCGTTTTAAGTCTAGGCATCATCTCCTTCTTCATATTATTCACTATCTTAGGAACCATAGTAATAAATTTATATTATTTGTATTAATATTTCTATTAATTATTAACATATCTTAATAATAATGGCAAAATAACTGCACAAACACCTGAAAATGCGTGGCAGTGGTTTAACGCCACAATACTCCAAACTTGTCAGAAGGTTTATCAAAAGGAAAGCCGAAGACTCCAGTAAACCATAAAATTAAATTTATTGAAAATTACAAGGTAAAATACAAAATTAAATACATGGTGATAAGCCAACATAAAATGTTGACCAACAGCATGCAGAAACAGCACGAGTCTCTCAGTGAAAAGTTCGTCTTTATACTCGAGCTACAGCAAGTGCGCACAGGTACAGTGCAGCAAACATGGATACTGCATGCAAATGTTAAAATACAAATATTCTCAAAGGAGTGAAAATACTCCACTCAATTGCACTTTGGAAGCAAGTAAATTATGTAAGGATTTGTATATCCTCACTGGTTAAATAAGATCTGCACTGTTCTATTTCAACATACTGTTTGCAAGAGTAAAAGAACAACTTTAAAACTTTTATTTTAAGCACATGACTACGCATATTTACTAAACTTGCACTTGCGATGAATCAAAACATACATGATTGTAAAGAAAAAATTACATACTAACAATTTTACATAACTCACACAGGAATAAAACTAATAGCAATAATTTTATATCACCCACACAGTAATTAAACTAACAGCAACAAGTTTTTAATAAAACTTATGATGCAGATCCAGAAGTAAAATTTAGAACTTCATCAATATTTTTAAACAATGAGTTTTATTATGTATACCATAAGAGTCTCATGTTCAATAATGCATTTTTAAGTGCAATTTTTACTTTTATAAACAAGACAGAATTGAGTCGAGAAACTTTCTTCAAAGTTTCAGGCTATCCTATTACAATTCAATTTTGCACATGGAACAATCGTATATAAATTTTCAGTCTCAAAGTTCTTTTAAAAGACATACTGTCACATTGTCATCATGCAACTCCCAAATCTACGACCAATGGAAGAAGCCTTTAATAGACTTCTCTAATAATAGGTATGGAGTGCAAATATGAAAGACAGCAAAGACTGTGCAGCAAAATTATTTTACTTTCTAATAATTAGCAAAATAACGATCAACTTGCTACCTAGATTTCCACTCATTCAGCTTCCAAGAAAAACTGGATTTGATTTGAAAACTAAATAAAAAATATTTGGATTACATTATTATAGCTAAAAGTTCACCCCCCCCCAACACTTTTTTTTTTTTTTTTTTTTTTGTCAAAACTTAATTTATCCTCCTTTATGCAATAAAATTTTCCCACATAAACAGTTATAAATAAAATCTCATTACTATCTCACAAATCACTATTGCAATTTTTAATCTAATCAACAAACTTGTCTCTACTTACATAATACAAATGAGACAAGGCTTTTTGTTGAAGGTAATCATCTTTCCTATAAACTGTAACTCACAAATATTATTTAGCTTTTGATAAATAACTTCTCTTCTTGTCATTTTTTTAATGTATAGTGTTCCTGTTGTGCTTAAAATTCTTTAATAACATTTAATAAGTACTGTTTAATGATTTCTGATTCACCTAGTAATTCTTCTATTTGATTCTGATTCATCTAGTATTTATCAAAATCTTCTATTTGATTCTGATTCATCTGGGATTTATCAAAATAATTTAAGGGATCCTTTTTAACTTCGTTAACATTATCCTTTATTGAAAATCATTATAATCACTTAAAAACTACATCAATAGTTTTAATAATAATAATAAAACTGATGTGTACACCACATGATTTCTTTGCATGGAATATTAAATTATACGCATTTTTTCTTGCCTTTCCTTTAAACTTATTGAATTGAATTAAATGTACTTCATCGATAGTGCATAAACTACAACAGAATAAATGCACTCTTTAAAATTCACTATATTTATTTACCACAGTGATGCTCTGCCGCTAGGTTCACTTAACAGCGTTGCATCTTATTCAGTTTACAACTCAGAAAGCACAAAAATTATACCGTCCGAAGAATTCTCTAATCGTTGCCACATGCTCTATTCAAATACTATAATAAATCTAAAATGATGTATAAAAGAAATAAATAGACAAACAAAAAGGAACAGTTGTTGTTGCGAAACTTAGTTTTGGCAACAAATCCACTATTCTGCTAAGTTTCAAATGTAAACAAATATGGATGTTGCTATGATTAAAAAATAAGCTTAGCCGCACTTAAACAACTTTTAAATTGTTGATAATTCTATAAATATTGCATGCAGGTAAAGGCATAAAAACCTTAACCGGAAGATAAGAACATAATTCAACCATTTTTAAAGCAAAAAATGCACAATTTACCACAGCATAAGAATAAAAAAATTTAAAAAAAAAAAAAAACTGAGCTCACGGAGCCGAGTAACAGAGTGAGTATATATATTTATTTACTTTTGGTGTGGCCGATTGCCACCAAAAAGAGAGGTGCACATCTACATGTTATAGCAGTCCTAGATACAAGATTTCAACATTCTGAGGCTACTCATTTTTGAGTTATGCGAGATACATACATACATACAGATGGCATAAAAAAATCTCTTTTGAATCCACTTTATATCAGTTCTATAAATTTTTTTGGGGGAAAAAGAGTCCTTCATTCTGTCCATACATACAGATGTCATGCAAAAACATCGTTAAATTGCATTTCATACATTCAAAATGGATATTTTTGTTGAAATATGGTACTTGGAATTTTTCACGATTATAACACTTTCTTTACTTGTACAAGGAAGTAAAAAGCAGTAGAATATTTTTGTGATTTTATTTAGAAATTCAATTAGAAATAAAGAAAAAAGTAGCATCAATTACATATATTTTTCTAATAACACTGATTATACTTCTTTTACTTTCAAAAGACAAACTGTGAAAGAACTATCAATCGTTATTTCCCATACAGCATTCCAAGTTATAGAATTTGAATCACTGATTTCTTGATTACAACTAAACTCTACAAAATTTTTAACCATATTATAGTTTGGAAAACAAAATTCCTACCCAACGTTTTTTTAGCAACAGAAGGGTATCTCTCCAAAACTCCAGCTGTTCATAGTCTATTTTAAATTTTGAAGCAGATGTTAAGTTCAAAATTGATCAAATATAAATACATTATATTAGAACCTTTTCCTCATATATGCACTGCTGATTCCTTGACAGCTATTTTTAGTCTGAAACACATTTATTTAAACATATCAAACTACTAACATTCAGTAAGTAGAAGAAAGGAAAATTTCCATGTATTATTGAAGAAATATGACAGATATGCCAACATCCATACACACACACAGTGTTGTCACTGAACTGCACTAAATAATACCTGACAGACTAACTTTTCTCTGACAATATCCAAAACTCGTTTTCACAAAATGACTCAAGACATAGCAGAAAGATAAAACTATCTAATCATTCAATTTTCAACATAAACTACAGTGATTAAATATACACCTACATATTTGCAAGTAATTCAGAACATTTCCTAAATTTAAGCAAGATCAAAGAAGTTCAGAAAACACTCCTTAAGTTTCGTGCTGTCAAATGCTCCTGCATTTATTCTGATGAAACAGATTGCCATAAAATCTTGCATTATTATCCTTGAACATATTACAACTATCTGGGATAAGTGCAATAGTAGGGTGCACAAACGATTTCCAAGCACATTATAAAAACCTTTTGCATGCAAATATCTCTACATATAATAAAAGAAAGAGTCTGTCTGTGTGTGTGTGTGTCTTTCGTTTGCGCTGCGCGTAATTTGCTACATAGGTGCATCTAGACAAGAACCAGTGCACCTCGGAGCGATTTTTTTCGAAATTAGAATTAGAATTTTTTTTAAATTTTATGCTTTGTGATGAAATTGTGTCATTTTGAGACATAATGGGCTATAGGAAAGTGAGATTTTACTCTACACACTCCATTTTCATTTCGTCATGAAACATAGGCACTTAGCTATTTTATGAACTTAAAATAAATTTCATATTTCAATAAATTGATTAAATACGAATTTATTTAACAAAGGGAGCTTAACACCTTTTCAAAGGGATTTTTTCTAAAAAAGTTTATTTTTCTTTGATTTTTAAACACATTAAATTTCATCCTTGTGACTGCTTTTACAAAAAGAATTTTGGGAAAATAATATTTTGTATTTTTAAAAAAAATTTTAAATGAAGCTTCCGAGTACACTTCTCACATCTCACATTTTTAAAAATGTGATTTTGGCAACAATTTTCTTTTCTTATTGTTGTTGATAGATTTTTGATGAAATCGCGTCATTTTTAATAGTTTCATTCTTTTAGAAATATGGGTTTGGCAACAATTTTTCATCGTATTTCTTATGTCACTGTTTTTAAGAGATTGGCATATTTCACTGTTATTTATATATATATATATATAATACTTTTTTTTTTTTTTAATTTGTTCTGTAGAGTAAAATTCTGCACGGAATTTTATATTTTTTGAGTTGCTTTCATGTTATTTTTTGCTTATTTCACTGTTTGTAAGATATTGAAATGTTTTGCATGATTTTTTTCCTTCAACGG